GATAGTAAATATCCGACGAAATGAACGTCGCAGACCCAAATCTAGAGTAAGGGATCGTTGACAAATGTTTTTATAAAAGTACAATTGGCTGCTTGAAGCGAAAAGGAAGAATTAGGGCATTTACGATCGGTCGAATTTGGTGGAAGTATAGTGGTGCTGTCTGTCCGACGCCCTCCTAAATCTTGACGCCACAGACAAGGTCGCTTAGAGCTTAGGACCTCGCATGCAAGCAGTTTTCCCGCGTGCCTCGAGGCATGCGCAATCGGACGGGCTGCCATATGCAATCGAAGCGCACCCAAACACACGCACCAAGTTTCCCCCATTCTGGCCTCAACCAACAGTGGCTTGACCTCAATCCGTCCAATGAGATTCCCACTTTAGTAGACTGACCCCATTTTGGCCTCAATCCGTGGGACAAAGACAACAATGCGGTGTCTGTCTTCAAGCCTCACTCCGGAACCGACCCGAATAGGGAACGGACGCACTTGTCCGCGAGTCAACACTCTTTCCATCTATTCTCCTATCCTTCTGCGAAATACACTATTCGTAACAATCTGGCTTTCCCACCGTCTTCTCTCTCTCCTCACCTAAAGAAACCATGGGCCTGGAATATCCTAGCTGTTAGGGTTAACATTCTTAGCCTTAACACCTGTCGATAGAAGTAAACTCAGTTCGCTTGCCGAGTCGACAAGGAAATTACGACGGGAACTCCTGTCGTAAATGTGAAGCAGGCGACTGTGTGAGGATAGACCAACCAAGTTGGTCGCATTTACTGGTCGGGAGGAAAGCTTTCTAGACGAATGTGAGTTGTATGTACAGGGAGATTTGAAATGGTGGGCATGAGAACCCTAATTGTGATGGTACCAACAGAAACCATCAATTGTAGTTTGGCCTGGAGTGAGAGACCTCGGGTGTTCAGTACTCGAAAGACTACGTTTGTGGACGCGAGTGGCTTGAAGCTGGGCAATTTGAAGAGTGAGTGCGTCAATGCGTGACACGACGTCTTGGATTGTAGGTGGGGGCGTGTAATGACTAGCGGGAGGTGTGAACGTGATGTTAATGTCGGCATCAGCGCGACATGTGTCATCGGTCAAAAGGTCACAAACTGGGGTTAGGTTCGGTCCCATTTGATGCCAGATTAAATGCACTCCTCTTATTCGGTAAACAACGATAACGCTGCGTGAATGCATTCATTGGAAACCTTGACAAAATTGCGGTCAGTAAAATGAGAGCCGCGAAACCGCATAAGAATTATTAGAAGGTTTATGCAATTGAAAGCGCAATTAAAAATCGGACTCACCAATGTGGGATATGGAACAGTCTATCCAAGAACCTGAGATAAGAGTATCCCAACTGTTACGAACCAGTAAATAAGAACAAAGTTGTTTGCAGATAAAAGCACGTGCTTGTTCAAAGTATTATTTAAAAGTTGTCAAGTTCATGCAAGGCATATTTAACCAAGTAAAACAAAGAGGCAGTTCAGTTTCACTACACCCTCGCCACTCCGGAATTGACGCCCTCGCAGCCGGACTGCAGTCATCCGAGAGTCAAAACTCTTTCCATCGATTCTCCCATCCGTCTGTGCAGAATACACTATTCCTAACACTCTGGCCTTCTCATCGTCTCCTCTCTTTTTTCCCATGGAGCCATAGTCTGAAGATCGCAGTTGTTAGGGTTTAACTCACTGAACCCCCCGCGATATAGTCATCTGGTGTAAATGCTAATGAGCAACTATAATTTGCGTCAGTCCGTGGTCATCCGACGTGGACGCTAATTAGCACTTGGGGTTTAGGTTAGTCAGTATTTGTCGGCTGTCGTCTCGCCCATCTTTCTTTGAGATGTTTGTACATTCATCCAACTCGATATATCGGTTGATGCATGTGTACTGATATTAAACATTTTCTTCGTTTACTCGGTTAAACATACATGGTAGGTTACCTGCCACAGCTTTGAATAAGACGCAAAATAAGCATGCTGCCTTTACTTGCCAACGTCTTTGTTCTTATTTACTGCTTTTTAACTGTTAGGATGCTTTTATCTTAGATTCTTGGGTAGACTTCTTCGTATCCCACACATGAACCATGGGAACGCATGGCATCAAGAAATTATCGGCCTTTTTGGAGAAGCAAAATCCGACGAGGCGTGTTTTCTCCCATTCAAGGCTGTGTTCCGTATCAAGGCTATTCATAGCTACTTCGGATAAATGGTCACGTATCTTAACTGCCAGTTGGTGCTCGCGGATGCGTGTGGAGACGGGCCTTCCTGGTTGTCCACAGTATACGGTACCGCAAGTTTTGCATGTGATCTTGTAAACGACTTCTTCCTTATCAAGATAGTCAACGCTATCCTTGGGCTGTAGAAGCTGGGCGCGTAAAGTACCCGTCTGCTTCCTCAGTGAGAAGCTTGATGCATGTCCAGTTTGCTCTTAAATTAAGTCACACAGGTGTAGCGAACAGCATCTTCGGAGAGAAAGTTCCACGCTGCACCCACTCTATTACCGAAAGAAACTTGCGTCTATCGATGCCTGCTTTGTTTGGGCGTAGTCGTAGAGGATGACTGCGCAAATTGGGCATGCTACCTTGAGGGGGAAAAATCGTCGGAGAAAAGGTAAAAGTCCATGCCATTCATAATGTGGAAGGTTAATATGAGATCCCCTCGAAGTTGCCTGCAGGAAGGGGAAAATAGGTCGAGGGTCGGCAGTCTGTTTTCATTGGGCAGTTTTCCCATAACTCTGGTCATTTTTGTCGCCCGCCTTTGGCCTTAGGCAGTACGTTGTGCGGCCTATGAGCCTGTCGAAAGTTGCTACTTTCGACAACAGAAGGTTCCCCAAATCACAAGCTAGGGTAGATGGAATAAACTGGAGCAGTTTTACGGCGGGAAAATGGACTGTACAAAGGCTGCGTCACG